TATCAAAAGGTAGAGCCTAGGATTGGTCCCATATCCTAATGGTTAAGGGAGCCAGACCCCACATCAGCAACAGCAGTTCAATTCCTGGCCCTGGAGGCTTGAAAGATACATGGGGAGCATGTCCCAAATCCTGACAGGATGGAGAAAAAGGATTGTGAAGTGATTACTTCCCACTGGTGGGGATGGGGAGGAGTGCTTTCTCTCTACCCCTCTGTCTCTCACTCTCTCTGGTGAATACACATTTCCTCTGCCATTAAAAAAAAAAAGAAAGAAAAGATGGAGTCTACTTCTCCTTGTGAATCCAGGCTGGCCATGGATTTAGCCAAGAAAAGAGAGAGTTTGACTTACAGGCCTGGGCCATAAAGGGCCTCAGAGCTTCCATTTTCACCCACTTGGTTGTCAGTCACCAAGCCAAGAATCTGGAGCTAGACAAGTGGTGAGAGGCCAATGTGAAGAGAGAGGTCACTGAAGGGGCCTCCAACATCTGGCACCACACATGTGAGTGAAGCCGTTATGGATGCACCAGCCCTAGTCAAGACAATGATGGTAATGTTCTTTTTTTTTTTTTTTTTTTAGAGGTTTCGCTCGTGATTACACTGAGGTTTGCATGTGCATGCACTCACCAGAAATGCAGGGAGAGCAAAAGAGACAGAAAGCAAGAAATCACTCCCAGGGGGGTGGCCATGCCGCAATCCCTTCTCCTCCATTCTCCTCTCAGCAGGATCTTGGGGACACACGTGCACACACACCCGGTGTGAGTTTGAGCCACTGAGTCCAGGACTCAAACTGTGGTCGACTACATGGGAGTTCAGCAACATAGCCATTATACCAACCGCTGGTCCCATGGTAATGTTCTTTATCTGTGACTGTCCAATATACTAATCACTAGCCACATATGTCTATTGAGTACTTGCAATGTGACAAGGGAATCTGAAGAACTGCATTTTTAATTTCGTTTGATTTTTTAAGACATATGTTCACACATCTTTTATTTTAAAAAATATTTATTTATTTAATTCCATTTGTTATTGTTTGTTTTTCACTTGACCAGACAGAGAGAAAGGGAAAGCAAGAAAGCAAACTGCCAGGTCCAGGACTCAAACCACAGTTGGTCATGTGAGAATGCAGTGCCTTTAACCACCATGCAACCTGCCAGCCCCAATTTCATTTGATTTTAACAAATTAAACTTTAGATAGTGGCTACTATGCAGGCCCACATAGAAGTCTATCCACTCTAATTTGCTCAGCGTAACCCTAGAAAAGGAAAAGGGCTCAGTGGCCCGGCTGTGATGGTGCAAGCTGGAGAGTACCACATGGTCAGTTAGGTTGGGCTGGATGCCTTGGGCCTGGCACAGGCTGAGTGCAGCACTGCAGGCCTGTATCACTAGCTAATTGGGAGGCTGGGGCAGGAAGACTGCAACGTGGGGTGAAATCCCATCAAAAGTATGGCTCTCTGGCCAGCTCCATAGTGCAGAAGAATGCATTGCTCAAGAGAAGCTGGCTCCCCAGCAGGTGGTGTAATGATTAAAGCACTAGATTCCCATGTGGCAGACTGCAGCTCGAGTCCCAGACCTAGTAGCTTGAAACTCATGCCAGGTATGAGTACGTGTGTGTCCAAAATCCCTAAAGGAAAATGGAGGGGAATGGATGGTGGCGTGAAAATTCCCCCTAGGGTGTGATTACTCACCTGTATCTCTGTCACTCCCGGGAGCTCACACACCCTATAGCAAAAATCTCTAAAAAAAAAAAAAAAAAAGAGAGAGAGAGAGAAGAGAGAGAGAGAAGTCACCCACGTGGTGACTGGGGTTCAAATCCTCAGCCCAGTCAGCACGGACTGAAAAGTATGTTGTGCATGTGCACAAGTGCCCAGGATTCAATGAGCTAGAGGGCTGGAGGAAGAGGATTGCAGTGACTAGACCCCATGGGGGTTGTTGGTGGTGCTCATTTCTCTCTTTCTGTCTCTCTTTCTCACTCACATGTATGCATGCACATGTTCTTTCATGAATTAAGAAAAAATACCACACACACACACACACAAAGTAAATAAATAACCATAACAGGGCAGCCAAAAATCACCTTAGCACCTACCCTTGAAGGGACTTTAATACATTAGCAGTGACTAGAAGTAACTAGTGAAGAGCGATGTAGTTCAGTCAGCTGGTATTCAAGAAAAAAAAATTTCCTTCCAACATTACCCCAGTGAAGGGAGTGGCCCATTCTAACTTGATTTCATCTACACAAAATGTAGAAACCAGAAAAAGAGATTTCCACATGATGGAATATATCGTGTGTCTCACTTCTAGCCTAGAGAAGTCTTGACCAGAAAATTAATCTTCAAAACTGTTTTCCTTATCTACTGAATTTTGTTTATATTTTAATAGTTCCTGGATTCACTTTTTTCTAAAGGAGATTTGAGAGTCTACTATGGATGTGTCACACAGTCACATATGTTAATGTATCTAATTGTAATCTTTTTTTTTTTTAAACTAAGAGAACAAGCTTGGTTGTGATCTGCTGAAGGACCTATAACTATTGAGTGCCAGAGATAAAATTCTAAACCAGGTCTCTGGATTTCCAACTCCCTATTCCCTCTTTCCAATGCCTCTGTTATAAAAAATAAAAATTTCCAGTGGCAAGGTGGTAGCAAAGCAACCAGGCTGAGCCACATGGGAATAAGAGTGTCCAGGTGCCCATGATCCTGGGCTGGCTGAGGCTGGGGGTGGCTTACAGAGTGAAGACCCTTTGGGGAGTACCTGTCTCCCTCTCCCTTTCTTACTCACATAAGAGAGAAATAAACTTTAAATAAAGTTCTGGTTGCCTTTTAAAATTTTCCATTTTCTGGTCACTTAAATATTTCCAATTAATGCCTTTATTCTTACCAGAGTGAAGTCACCTCTCTTCCCTTCACTTACACTCTTCTCTTCTAGTTCTATACACATCCTTCAAAACTCAGTTTAAATCTTTTTTCCTCCATGAAACCTTCCTCATCTTAAACCCAATTCATCTCTCACTCCTCTGAATTTTTACATCATTTATAAAGGGCATCACCTAACGTGGCACTCTTTGTTACCTTGCTTTCTTCTTATGTGCTTCGTAATCTCTTTGAGAGAGCCATCCTGTATCTTTGGGGAGTGGCAATCCTCCCGTTTCCCCCATCCCTACCTCCCCTCCCCGGAGCCGTGAGTAGGTAATTCAGGAATGGTTGCAAGATCTAAACAAAACAAATACACTTCTTGATTAATTAAAGTCAGCCCCAAACTCTTGCTTCATCTACCGCACACCAATTAATCCGATTTTAGTATATGTGCTGCCGAAGCGAGCACTACCAATTAATCCGGAAGGACTGAATGGCAAATGGAATCGTTTAAGCTCCGCCACGTAACTCTCCCCGCCCGCCCCGCCGCGCCACGCCCACCCTGCTGCTTGCCGATTGGGCGTGGCCCAGCCTGGCGGCCGCTTGGGCGGAGCAAAAGGAGTGTGGGCGTGGCTGAGAAGAGGAACCTCTGGTCTGGGTCAGACTCGGTAATTTCCGGTAGTACTCGACAATTTCCGGCAACGGTCTCCTCCTCCGCCGACTTACCTCGGGTATTTCCGGTCTCTTTCGAACTTTTCCGTCAGGCTCCCGCTCCGATTTCTTCACTTCGGGCATTTCCGTGTCCCGCTCGTAAGTAGTCGGCTATCGCTCGGCCTCCCCCATCCCCCGGTAACGGTCGCTGGTGAGTTTAAATGAGCCGGGGCTGGCCGGGCCGGAGCCGCTACGGGGGGTGCCTGAGGCACTGCAGAAAGTGGGCCTGAGCCTCAAGGATGACGGTGCTGCAGGAACCCGTTCAGGTAATGAAAACCACCTTCACTGGGGCTTGGCTCGCAGCCGCGGTCGGGAAGCGGCGTTTGGCCAGTCCGCGGCCTGGTGCGGCCTAGGCCCGGCTGCTTCTCCCGCCTCCTCGGGAGCTGGGTCCTGCCTCTCTTTCCTCAGTCCGGAGGCCTTATCCGACGCCTAAGCCGTGTTACCTCGGGCCTACGTTACCTCCAGCTCTAGTGTGAACCGGCCTGGGCGGTAATACTCCTTTCCGGTCGGAGCCGACGTCCAGCCAGCCCCTGCTGTCAGTCTAGGGGCCTGGCGTGGCCGGGGATGAGACCTGGGGCCGAAAACGCGCCCCAGGTGCTCCCTTGCCTAGAGGATGATCAAGAAGCACGTTTGATCGGAGCTTGTACTATCTTCATAACGGTGGGGCAAGTTTGCGAGGTTTTTCTGTTTTGTTTTTTTGTGTGTGTGTGAGAGGGTGGAGGGAGGGCAGGATACGTATTTTTAATACTAATTTCTGTTTGAGTGACCGTCTTCCTAGCCCACGTTGCCTTTCTCACTCAGTGGATTTCCCACTGGACAGAGATAATCTGAGAAGAAAACTCCAAGGCCCAGTGCTGAGGTGCAAGCACCTGTACAAGAGGAGGAGGTGGAAAGCACAGAGAAGGGTTTTTCCATGGCTTGTGATAAGGGTCAGGAGTATTTTATTGTGCATGTTTATAAGGCATTTAGGAAATGAAAGTCAAATAATGGTTCCTCCATCCATTTCCCTGACGGTAGATATGCTTTGTCCAAAGCTATGCTTTGGTGCTCTGTTGACATCGAAGAAACCCTCCTGGAGTTTAAGTGTGTGATGATGCAGTGCCAAGTCATTTTCCCCCTTGCCATCTGAAAAAATTGAGTCTTTTGTCCCTTGTGATGAACCAAGTCTGGGAGACTTTCATCTCACCAGATGATATTTGGCTTGATCAGAAGAGTTGACCTCTATCAACCATTGTCATTGAGTCATGGACTTTATTTTGAAGTTATAAAGTAAAAATTTTAGAAATGTCTTTGTGTTGCCCTTAATTAGGCCTGTGACATGTAGCAACGTTGTAATACATCACTACTTCCAGATTTCCTTAACATTTCTTCACAGCATGAAGTATTCATTTCCCTAGTTTGACTGCTTCTTCAGCTCTTAATATATAGCAGCCATTAGTGTCTGAATTAATAGAACATAGCACTCTGTCTTAGGAAACTTACCTGTTTGCAAGTTGTATCAGTTTTTACTAAACTATTTCTTTCTATCCAAATTCCTCCTACTGCTGTAGTGTCCCTTTTAAGATTTTTGGGGGAGGCCTAACATGAAATCAGATGGATAAACACATTACTCAAATTGTTTAATTTCTATTTTCTATTCTTGAAATTTTGTCTTAATAATAATTCATTTGTCTTCTTTGGCCCCAAAAGGCTTCTAAAAGTGATAGACTTCTAAAAGTGATAAACTAACCACTGTGTAATAACTTCAACCTGTATGAAAGCATGGAAAATAAGTATGCGATCTATTTCTAGATAGCACCTATCAGGCTTTCTAGTTTTCCTTAAACTCTTAGCAGTAATACATTTTTACATTGTTAAGGCTTAAAAATCAATTTTTTTTACATTAGCTTTTGTTCATTAATTTTGGGGTGGTGATAAGTTTTAGAATATGACTAGGTGAGAATTTGGGTTGTAATTTATAATATAAGAAGCAGCTATTCAGGAAGGGATCTGGAGAGTGGGAGGAATAAGCAGCCTTGGCTCTAATGGTGAAGATCAACTGATCAGAGATAGTGCTGAAAATGGGAAAGAATAAGTAAGGAAGAGATTAAAAATAGGACAAATAAATAAGATACCACCTTTAATTCATTTTTTTTTAACTAAGATGACAGGTTTATATGTGTTTAGATGGAATGAGAGCAAGTTTGAGAATTATTTCCTTTCTTGGAATGCCGCAGGGTTTGTGGTATTACTTGCATAGGAAAAAGTTGACAGAAAATATGACAACTGTTTTCTGTTTTTGTTTTTTTTTTCCTCTGAAAAATTTTAACATTAACCAGCCTAATACAGTATATATGCCTAAATATACACTCCTCCCCGAATTACCTCTCACAGGAAAATATTGCTTTGTAGTTGAGTCCTTACAAAAGCCTTTCATCAGGCAGAAGTTCTGTCAGTTATTTTATTTATAATAGTAACTGTTGTGGGTGGAGGGGTCACCTGGTGGTGTGGTGGTTAAGGTGACCGGATTCCACATAGCTAATGGTATGATTTGAGTCTTGGACCTCGAGGTTTGAAAAACATGTCAGGTAGATGTACATGCCCAAAATCCTGAGCAGAGAATGAAGGAGAAGAGATTGTGATGTGGCCATACCCCGTGAGTTTTTTCTCTCTTTTTCTCTCTCCCCAGTGAGCACACGTGCCCTATAGCAAATTTTAAAAATGTGTAGGTCCTAGCCTAAATGACTTAAATCAGTGATTATTTGAATGTTTATAAAAGTCACCTGATGAAACTGGCTTTTACAAAGGGAAAGATATTTTGTATAGATTTCTCAATTATTTCTGAGGTAAGACTTTACAATTAGAAGTGTTGGATCAAGTTGTGAATAGGAGTTTTGGAAACCTTTTTATTAAACACTATAAAAAATGGATACTATATATGTAAAAATGTTTTTGAGATCATTAGGTAGTGAAGAAGTACATTTGGCTTAGTATCAATAAGATGTCCAGGGACAGCATCTAACATAGTTTCAAAGAGTACCATATTTTGGGGTCAGCCAGTGGCATGGTTAAGGTGGCTGGATCCCACATAACTGACTATGAAGTTTGAGTCCTGGACCTGGCATCTTGAAAAAACCCACCAGGCATGTGCGCATGTCTGCCCAAAAGGAGAAACGGAGAAAGGACTGTGGCCTGGCCATCTCCTTTTGGGGGGTAATTTCTCATTCCCCTGCCATGTCTCTGTCTCTCCTAATGAGCACACACACCATATAGCTTTATATATAGATATATATTATATCTGTATATTAAGGTTTTTGCCATATGGCATGTGCACTCGCTGGAGAGAGACAGGAAAAATGAGAAATCACTCCCAAGGGGGATGGCCAGGCCACATCTATTGTCCTCCTTTCTCCCCTCAGGATTTTGGGTGCCCACACACATGTGTCTTGCATGATTTTCAAGCCATTGGGTCCAGGACTTCAGAACCACAGTTGGCCATGTGGGAATCTAGTGCCTTAACCACGATGCCCTCTGTTGGCCCCCATAGTAAACTAAAAAAAAAAAAAAAAAAAAAGTACCTTATTTTAGCTACCATATGAGAAATGCAATGGAGGAGAGGGACAAGTATAAAAACAATAGTCTTAAAGATAAAGGAAGTCTAGCCTAAAGTAGTAACTGTGGATTAGGAAAGAAATAGATAAATTTTAGAGGTGTTTTATAAGCAGAAATTCAAGAAATATTTGGGAGGTAGAACTAATGGGACATGGAAATTGCTTGGATGTGGGAAGGGGGATAGTCAAGAATGGCTGCCTGGATTTCATTTTGGTGATGCAATTTAAGAGATAGAGAATCCTTTGGAGGAGAGGGACAGATGTGAAAAAAGGCAACTAAGAAATCCTGTTGTGAACAAATTTAAATTGGAGACATTCGTGAGTCCACCAAATAAGGTTTAACTCTTAATTTTTTGAGATATTTTTGCTATAGGCTGTATTTGCTCGCCAGAGAGACAGACAGAAAGTAAGAAATCAAAAAGCCCCCCCCCCCCCAAGGGAGAATGGCCACACCACAGTCCCTTCTCCATTTTCCTGTGAGGATTTTGAGCACACATGCACATCTGCCCAGTGTGAGTTTTTTCTTTTCTTTCTTTTTTTTTTTTCCTGAGGTTTTTGCTATAGGGCACGTGTGCTCGCCAGAAAGACAGAGAGAAACAGAAAGACAGAAAGCAAGAAATCACCTCCCCAGAGGGGATGGCCACACCTCTATCCCTTCTTCTCCATTCTCCTTTTGGGATCTTGAGCACACACACACATGCTCCTGGCATGAGTTTAAGCCACCGGGTCCAGGAGTTGAACCATGGTCGACTACATGGGAGTTCAGTGACATAGCCATACGCCAACTGCTGATTCCCTGACATGAGTTTTAGACCACTGGGTCCGGGACTCGAACTCTGTCAACTGTATGGGAGTCCAGCCATGTAATTATGCTGTCTGCTGGTCCCTTTATAACTCCTATTTTTTGGAGGCTTTAGTCTTTTTGGGAAGATGAATACAGTAAAAATTGGATAATGCTGCAAGTCAGTAGCTATTTGATTGAGTACATAATAATAAATTTAGGAAAGAGATCCTTGCAGTCCAGAAAAATGGGAAAGCCTTCTTGAAGGAGTAGAATGTAGAGCCTTAGAAGATAAAAGGTCAAACTGATGAGAAGAGAAGAGAAGAGAAGAGAAGAGAAGAGAAGAGAAGAGAAGATAAGATTCTTGGAATGGAATGGCATGAGCAAAAGCCTGACGTCAAGGATATTTAGGAAAAAGAGAACAGTAAAATATTATAGCCCTGGCTAGAATGGGAATGGAGACCAGAAAAAGGTGCATTTTTTTTTTTTGTAATTGGATAGAATCATACTATAGTGGATTTTTAAAAAGAATTATTTATTTAATTGTGATTTATTATTGTTGTTTTTAATTTGCTGTAGGGCACATGTGCTCACTAGAGAGAGAGACACAGAGAGAGACAAAGAGGGAGAGAAAGTTAGAAAGCAAGTACCAGGCCAGGACTCAAACTGAAGTTAGTCATGTGGGAGTCCAGTACCTTAACCACCAATCCACCTGGCA